ACCCGCATGGGAGACCAGGAAAAGCACCTGGCTCCTGGCTTCCGATCAGCGCAGTGCGCCAATCGCGGCAGCCATTGGAGGGTGAACCAATGGCAAAGGAAGACCTTTCTCTCTGTCTCTCTCTCTCACTGTCCACTCTGCCTGTCAAACAAACAAACAAACAAAAAACCAGGGTGTCAGCATGGGTGTGCTTTTTCTGAAAGCTCTAGAGGACAATCAGTTCCCTTGTGGGTTCCAGCCCCCAGAGGCCACCTGCACTCTGGCTGATGGCACCTTCCCCCATCTCCAAAGCCAGCCTCAGCTAATTGAGATTTTCTTACATCATAGCTCTCTAACACTAACTCTCTCACCTTCCTTCCTCATATAGACGGATCCTTGTGTGAGTACATTAGTCCATCAAAGCAATCCAAAATAATCTCCCCTTTAAAGGCACTTAATCATATGTGCAAAGACCCCCATGCCATGTAAAACACACATTAATCAATTCTTGGAATTGAAGAATAGGCTTATTTGAGCAATCATTCTTCTGCCTACTGAAGATAGTACAGTCTATAATTTGTGCACATAGTGTAATCCATCTCAAAAGTAGTTATGGAATAAAGAATTTATTTCCATTGAAATTGTATGTTGTGGTTGGACCACAAGGGCACTTTTCAAAGTCTAACTGGAATTATACTGTATTTGAGTAATTTGGGCCCTAGAAAAAGGGGGATGCAAATGAAAGCAACAGAGTTAAAAGTGACAGGGCTTTACAACACAACAGGTGCAGGTGGGCTATCAGCAAAAGGAATTGAACTAAGCAGCACTGATCTACTTCTCAACTAAGGCTCTATACTTTACAGTTGCATCTACTAACTATCTTTTCTTAATGATAATTATTTAAGTAAAATCAATGCATATTTATGACTGACATTTTCATAAATAAAAATTACAGATACAAAAACTAATATAAAGTTTGCCACATCACAGAAGAAAAACAGACTGTAGAAATTTTAATTTGGGTTCCAAAGTCTGATTCTGGTACTTATAATCTGTGTGATGTCAGGCAACTGACTTAGAATTTCTGTGGCTGTTACAGAAATTAAAAATAGGAATCACACATAATAGGGCTGCTCTAAAATAAAACAGGGTGATGTACATGTCAAAGACATTCCAGGGCACTGTTAGTGCTCAAGAAAATGTGGTTTCAGGGTGAAGCATATTGGTAGACTATGGCAGCCACAGAAGAGACATGAGTATAAAGATAGAATCCTTAAAATTCTTTATCTGAGTAAATAATAATCATCAGACTGATGGATAAAACTGAAGAATCCTGAGAATAACTGTCACAGTTGGATAACTACTGAGTTTTAAAATATTTCACATGTATACAGTCATACATCCTGCAATGACAGGGACACACTTTTGTGAAATGAATTCTGTGATTAGGTACTTTCATCATTGTAGAACATCACAGACTGAATGTCTACAAACCTACATGATATCAACCACTCAATGGGTGAGCAATACAATTAAGAGACATGGTAAAAGATGTCCAAGCTACTGCTGGTATAAAATGGCCTACAGCTTTACAGTAAACTTTTTTTTTTAATCATTAGGGGTACTCTGTAAAATGATGATGGAAAGTACTGGGTAGTCAATATATAAACCAATAGCAATCATGAACAAGTATTATATACTATATAGAATTGTATTGCTATACCTTTATATGACTGGCGGTACAGTATGTTTTTATTTATTTATTTTTTGACAGGCAGAGTGGACAGTGAGAGAGAGAGACAGAGAGAAAGGTCTTCCTTTGCCGTTGATTCACCCTCCAATGGCCGCCGCGGCCGGCGCGCTGCAGCCGGCACATCGCGCTGATCCAAAGGCAGGAGCCAGGTGCTTCTCCTGGTCTCCCATGGGGTGCAGGGCCCAAGCACTTGGGCCATCCTCCACTGCACTCCCTGGCCACAGCAGAGAGCTGGCCTGGAAGAGGGGCAACCGGGACAGAATCCGGCGCCCCGACCGGGACTAGAACCCGGTATGCCGGCGCCGCAAGGCAGAGGATTAGCCTATTTTGCGCGACACCGGCCCAGTATGTTTTTTATATTATACCAGGATCACCACAACCATGTGAAGAACGCACTGTACTGTAATGTTATAATAGTTACAACATCACTAGGCAACAGGAGTTTTCCAGCTCCATTACCATTTTATGAGACCACTATTACAAGTGGTCCATCATTAACCAAAGCATTGTTATGTGGTTTCCAACTGTACTAGTTACCATAAAGATGCCAAATTCCAACACTGATCTCATAATGTTTTGACAAAATATAGAACAAAAATAGCATAGTGTGATAAGCACTTGGTTACCCCGGAAGGGGCTTTCAGGCAAAAGCAAGTGATAGAAAAAAATTGCCACAGAGACCACTTAGGCACCAAGCCCTGCGTTAGCCAAAGAAATAATAGATGTAAGGCCAAAGATAAACCACTTCTTGCACCAGAAACCTTGGAAGTCTCAGAAACAGACTGGACTCTACAAGGCCCCTCTGAGATGTGAAGTAGCCTCACATTTAACCTCTCATCTCAATCTTCACCGATGTATACTGGGTTTTCTTCTGTAGATTAAATGTCCTCAGCCCACACTGCTTTCTGATGTGAAGTTTCTGTTCTTCCTGCCTCATGCTTTGAAGCTTTGCTCTCCGCAGTTCGTTACTGCCATTTCTTACTGGTAGTGAGACTTTCCTAGGAGTCAAGGAGTGCAGTTTTTAGTACAATCTTCATGGACCTCCATGCAGGCCTCCGTGGGCTTGCCATCTATTCATATTCTAAATGTAAGAATTTATTAGGAAGCCAATTTGTATACAGGTGAGCTGTTATTTGATCTACACTCTGTACTGTCTCCAGGGATCTTGGATGAGTTAGATATGTCATTAAATATCCAAAAAGCATCATTTATAATTATTTCTTAATCTAAACTGACAAAAAGGTGAAGTCTGGCAGGGCCTTCTTTTCCACACTAAACATATGGAATATAAGGAAATCTGAAGATTGCATAAGGAATCAATGTCAGAAAAATGCATAATGTTGTCTTTTTCACTTTACTGTTTCTGAAATGGGAGTATAGTTTTCAGGCAATTCAGAAGTATAAATTCTCAACAACTCTGCAGAACAATAACAAATAGGCTCCATGCAAAAGCATTAAAGTGTATTAAGGGAATGGTTAAAACGACCCAAACAGTACTAATCTCTGGTAGGATTTTAACCAATTATCTCAGTTTTTCACCTTATTTAGTAATGGCAGTAGAGTCCCATTAAAACATAGATTAGATATAATAAAGCTGTTCCCGTGTGTAGTAAATGGATGATGGCAAAAAGTGCATTGCTGAGACAGTTAACAAGAAGACTCTAAAAGGAAGAGCTCTACAGGACAGGTTATTTCCCTGGATACCGTCCATGGAATCGCCCTTCTGGTAAGGAGGTCTTGGATGAAACTGGGGTGAGACGTTTTCTTATGGCCCTTCTTAAACTTGTGACTTTCTGGCTTTTCCTTTGAAACACACTGAACATCAGTGAAATTTCACACAGGAACCACCTCCCTCATTGACAAGGAGCCCAGATACCTACAATATTTCAAAGGACGATGCTCCTGGAGAAGAAGTACAATAGAAAACAGCAAAAAACAAGGGAAACGCCTCCTGTAAGAATTCTAAAGGTACATAATAACATAATAATATCAATCGCACATTATTCACCATTTAACCAACTAAACAGGAGGCATACATCAACATCATACACAGCAGGAGTCAACTGCAGCAGGTGAAGCATTCTTTAGCACTTGTTTAACAGGTGGTCCTTAGGAATCAAGTGCACATAAAATAATTAGCAGATACTAGTAACACAATTCAGATCTTCCCGTACCAGTCCTCTAGGAACACATAGTCTGTTTAGGAAGGTAAGTCCCTTGTGCAATGGCTAACTGTATTGCAAAGCAAATCAGGTTTGGATTCTAAAGAAAATATTAAAAACAAACATATAGAACGTCTGCAGAGATTAATGTAAATTTGAACAGTCTGAAAAAATCTCCAAGAAAAAAAGATGAAAATTTTATCTGAGTTCAATGAATCGCTTATTTTTATCCCAGTCCATTAGTTAAAACATATGAATGTACACGCAATCACACTAACCTGTGATAGAAGAAAAACAGTACAGAGAAAGAAGTCTACAAATATAAATTATCCTAGTACCAGCAGTGCTAAGGCTGTACAACAGAAGATACTTTGACAGCAAGGTCTCTCCAGGAGAGCTGCAGTTCAATGCTGGAGAACACACAACCCACTGATAAGAGGAGTCTGACGCTGAAGCAGGACTAAAGCGTATTCCTCAACAGCAATGCTCCAGGGTATTGCAACCAAAGGGCTTCCTTTCACAGAGTTCTCACTTTAGTATCAGAAGACAGAATCCAAGAAAACATGATGTTTGCAATGGGATGATTCTCAACTAGGTGGCAGAACACGTTCAAAATTTTGGAACATTCAATTTAGGTTTTTTTTGCATTAGCAATGATAACAAGACCATCATTCAGGATAGTTGCTGGCCAGCTACTTCAAGAAAAATTCACCATTCTTCATGAGACTGTCCTGCTCTTGTGTGGCAACACATTTACATGTCAGGCACTAAGCTGAATGTTTAGTACGGGCCAGGAATAAACTCCAGAGCCAGAAATAACAGTAAGAACTCCAACAGCCTCAGCTTCTGACACTAATTTATTGAGATGTATCAGAAACTCTTGAGAATGAAGTATCTGCTAATTAGGTCACCACAAAAAGTCTCTCAAGATTTGGAAAAGTTTTCCAAACAGCTGATGAAGAATTGATTTATGAGCTGTCCAGGTGCAATCTGAACAGATGGTATCTTTTAATAATAATTGACACATGCGTTTTTGGAGGATGTGAATCTCCAAACAGAGATTCCTGCAGAGGAAAACAAAGAGAAACGGTTTTAAAGTCATCTACCTTATCTTTGTCTTCAACAACATCTGCCAAGACATCATCTGGATCCAGGATTCCTCCATCTGTGTATTCCAAGTGATGAATCTTCACCCAGTATCCAGGATCCTGCAGTAGCACAAACAAGTTTCATGACTCAATTGTTGAACAAAAAATACACTTCAATTTCACAAGAAACAGACTGACTCAATAAATAGGCTTGAATAATAGCAAAATTATCAAAACTGAAAACAAATGCTATCTATTTATTTGGATAAATACTTGGCACTTTAGCCTATTAACTTAAATCAAGGAATCAATGTAAAAGCATTTCATCTCTCTTCTTGGAAAATAAATTGTAATGCAAAAACAAGAACTGGAAAAACACATTCAAGAACTTTTTTATATATAACATATAACTCAGGTAATTTCAAATTGTCCTGAAAAAGACAGACCTTCTTTAAGGACTTTTTGGAAATAGGGGTAGAAGTACAAACTAAGATCCAAAGCCTATAGGGAAAAAAAACCCAAAGAAAGAAATTGTGATTACCAACATCTGTTACTTCAGATACATGGATGAAAGGGGTGACCACCAACCTCCTAACCTTTAAAATCTGATTTGGCAGATTTACAACTGCTGCTTAATTTTTAAAACTGCTTATTCTGATGCTAGAATTTAGAATTGCACTTCCTAGCTCAGTCAGTTATTTACATACTATTTCCAAAAAAGATAGGAAAGTAAACCATTAAATAAACGGGACAAAAATATGAACTAATGAATGAGGGGAAGAAAAACATTGGTGAGGGTTTTTCCAGAATACCTATGCTAAGATAAATTTGGTCTGTGATTGTTACAAAGCCTCTCAAAGTGAAAAACTTTTTAGCTAAAAAGCACTCAGTATCCAGTAAAAAAACAGATAACAGTTCATGAAAAGAGATGGAAATTCCTCTAGGATAAAGCTCTAAGCCTTTACCACATGAATCTTTATTAAGAGTAAGAACTAACATAACCCACAGAATTCAATTGCAATTTTACGAAAGCTAATAGAAATGGTGTCATATAGCCTTCTTTTTAACTGACCTCTGATAAAAGGCGAGGGCATACTATTAAATAATAATTCTTTTAAAGCATCTACTCAAAAGGCTACTGAAATGTAGTCCAAGTATATAGCTTTCCAGTAATCCCACTTGATAAAGTGATAGGCTTAAACATCTGAAGGAATTCGCCTTGGATAGGTTTTGGACTTTTAAAATTAAGTTTTCTATAGATTATCTAAAGAGCAAATTCAAGTAAAATAAAAGGACTTTTATTTGCTTCTAAAACTAAGCTTATAGGTAAGAACACAAATGTCTTAGTAGGAAACTTTAAATGCCTATTTCTCAGCTAAAGATCTGAAAGATAGGAGCAGTGAATAGTATCATCAGGTAAGAAAAGCATAGAGCATCAATCAGACTCTTAAAGCAAAGATTTGTCAACTCAAGGTGGCTGTACTTTAATAGACAAGCTAAGTACAATAGGCTGGATTCCAAAAACGGAGAATACTGGAGTATGTGTATGAAACACTATGTACTGGCCACAAGACTACACAGCTCGCCCAGCAATCTCTGACAACTGAATACTTTTGTTATGGCTATGCTACAAGCAACATAGTTCTCCAGACTCCCCCAGGACTTTGGACTAAAATATACAGTATTCTTTTTTCCTTGTAAAATTAGCCTTTTATGAAAGTTCAATTTAATTAATTTCTATAAACTTCCGTTAAGTTGGTAGATGAAATCTGTTGATTTTTAACCGTGTTTATAAAAAGTAATATATTCTAAAGAGTTTGCTTTTCTAAGTGTTCTTAAAAGCAGGTATGTATTAAGTTATCTGTTTTCTCATGCTTCCTTTATAAAGACAGGGTTTTTTTGTAAAAAAGATTGATTTATTTGAAAGTCAGAGTTATACAGAGAGAGAAGGAGAGGCAGAGAAAGGTCTTCCATCCGCTGGTTCACTCCCCAGATGGCCGCAATGGCCGGAGCTGTGCCGATCCAAAGCCAGCCAGGAGCTTCCTCCGGAGCAGCTGGAACATAAACCAATGCCCATATGGGATGGCGGCAGCTTAACCTGCTAAGCCACAGTGCCTGCCCCTAAACACAGATCTTATCACCTGAAAGTGCAGTAAACAATGGCTCCTAACCTAACAACTGCAGTATAAGTCAAAGTACACTTCCACTCCTGCCTATGGGTAGGGATACAAGAAAACTGGAGTCCTGGTTTGAAAGACAAGACACAAAAACAGTAGGGGATGAATCTGATCAGTGGGAAAGGCGAGAGCAGACAGAGGGCAGCAAGACGGGATGTTAAGTCATACAGCATTTCTTCTTCACACAGGCGTGTGGTGTCGAATATGACTGTGAGGTAAGGCACAGGAGTTCAAGCTACGATATTTCTCTCTAATTTGACTCAAAAGAGCATAGAACTACAACAATTTTAAAAGTGGTTTGAAGTATTTTGGAGTCATACATTTCACTAAAATATTAAGAGAAGTATATGGAGGCAGATATGGAAAGACTCTGCAGCTTTGACTCCCCAGTCCACACTGGCACTGCCTTTGTACATGTTCTAAAGAGTGGGCTAATGATGGATACACATCTAAGGCTGAAAATAAAAAGAAACCAGGCACACCATAGGAAAGCAGTCTCAGGGTTAATATTTCACACATCTGAGAGGAAAATATGCAGTATGTATCAACAGCAATTTTATCCCCATGGTATTTTGGCCATGGTGCTATAGATCACTTGAAAAATATACATTCAATATTAGCAGCCTGCAGCCATTATAAGACCATAAATTTAGTTTGACTATTTTATGCATGTAAAAATTTCAACCATAACATTGCAGTCAACATTTTGCATTTAATTTATTTGGTTTTATTACCATCAGGAATAAAACTGATCAAACATGAAAAAGAAGTTCACGTACATATCATGGATAATGCAATTAATCACTTAGAGACGTTCACTATACTTTTATGACCAGGGCAGTTTACCTTATATTGCACAAATATCAGTAATGCATATTACTTTTAAATTATTTTGAGAATATTTCTAGTATACAAATATCTGCTGTTTTTTCTATCTAATAAATCTTCTCACTTCTACTCCTGATTATTAACATTCTGAAAAATACCATGGGATACGTTATGTTTTCTCAATACGTTATGTTTTCTCAACTTCTAACAGGATCATTCTGTGCTTTAAATAAATCGCAGTTCATTTAAACCCTACAGGAATTTTAAAACTAAAACAAACAAGTCTACAAGGATAAATCTGGAAAAGGAAACTAAAAGAGAAACATACGCATAACAGGAAGGAGACAGTTACAGGGAGTTTTTAATGATGAAACATCGAAATTGCTCCTAACACGCACTGATATTAATAGCAACAAATACGCTTCACTGTGGGTAGATGACATAAAATTTGACCCTATGCTGTAGAGATTTTTTATTAGCCGGTTTTGAAGAACGATAAGTTTCCATCTGTAATACCTAAAGGAGTAGACTCACAAGCCAGTTACTCTGACACTGTGAGATTATGCCAATAATCAACAGAGGGAAAACTTGGTGGTTAAGCAAAATGCCAGTGGTCTACGATGGGAAAAAAACACCCTGCAACAGTAAGGTCCTGAAGTGAGGCATGGTGGCAAAGGACAAGCCAATGCTTAGGCAAGGACTGGATTTAATCAGTGGTAGCTTGTACATTGCTCAACGATGAAACTGGTTTCTTTCACTAGAATCATCTTAGCCAGTGGAATAATCATAAAATAGAAATTAATAGAAAAACAGAATTTTTTGTAGAATTAAACTTCAGAGATTTGGTGGCATGTATCCACAAAATGAAATACTACCATTTTCTTTTTTTTTTTTTCACTCTAAGAATTTTCTATTTTGAATGATTCAGGCATGTGCTGGGCACACAGTTTATTACTCATTTATTTTTAAAAATTTGACAGATTTAGACAGTGAGGGAGAGAGAGAGACAGAGAGAAAGGTCTTCCTTCCATTGGTTCACTTCACTCCCCCAATGGCCGCCACGCTGTGCCGATCCAAAGCCAGGAGACAGATGTTTCCTCCTGGTCTCCCATGTGGGTGCAGGGACCCAAGCACTTGGGCCATCCTCCACTGCCTTCCCGGGCCAAGCAGAGAGCTGGACTGGAAGAGGAGCAACCAGGACTAGAATCCAGCACCCATATGGGACGCTGGTACCTCAGGCAGAGGATTAACCACGTGAGCCATGGTGCCAGCCCCTATTTATTTATTTTTAAAGATTTATTTATTTATTTGAAAGTCAGAGTTACACAGAGAAGGAGAGGCAGAGAAAGAGAGGTCTTCCATCCAACTAGTTCAATCCTCAATTTGCTGTAACGGCCAGAGCTGCACCAATCCAAAGCCAGGAGCCAGGAGCTTCTTCCGGGTCTCCCACAGGATTGCAGGGGCCCAAAGACTTGGGCCCTTCCACTGCTTTCCCAAGCTATAACAGAGAGCTGGATGGGAAGTGGAGCAGCCGGGACGTAGAGCAGCCAGGACTTGAACCAGTGCCCATATGGGATGCTGACACTGCAGGCAGCAGCTTTGCTCAATATGCCACAGTGCTGGCCTGAGATTCTACCATTTTCTTCATCATCACAAATAGCGAAGTCTCTTCTAGTGCTTACGAAAGGCCAGGTATTATAAATACTTCATGGTTTTTATGTGAGTTACTAATTTATCCTCAAAGAGACTCATAGAATCATCATCAATCCATTTTACAGATGAGGAAACCAAGCCATGAGTAAGTGAACTGACTTACCCAAGCTGAGTCACTCGTAAAAAAGCAGAAAAAAATAGGTCTTTTTTTCAAAACACAGAAAATATTGCTTTTACTTAAAGAACTTAATGGAAGCATAACTACCTAGGAATCAGGCTGGGGATCAGGTCTCTCTCTACTCCACACACACACACACACACACAGGCAAGCTGCCACTATTCTGGGAGTCTGATACTTCAGCAATAGCGAGCCTGGAGATTCCAAGGCCTTTTGCCCAACGCATCGCATACAAACCAAAGTACAGAGGATACCAAAGGGTGATAAAAAAAATTATTTGTAGA